AATAATCTAAATCTTTCTTTAGATATAGTCGATTGTAAAAGACCGAAATGGCAGAAATGGAATCATATTCAAGCATATTTCAGACTTTTATCAAGCGACTTTAGAAAATCGTAAGTTTCAGTAGGTAAGACTTTGATTAAACCAGATTTCGGGTTTTTACCTTAACAACTGTAAAAGTCCGAAATCGGGTGAACCCTGGTTTTACCGGTAAAACATAGAAGTTTCCAAAGTGGCTTGGTAACGTTTAGGTTTCACCGTAAAGGCTAGGTAATAGGCTAAACTAGAATCACATTCAGGCGTACTTCGAACTTTTATCAAGTCACTTTGTTAAAAGCTAGGTTTTACAAGTAAGACGTAGAATTTATAGGACTTCGGGTTTTTACCGTCATATATATGTTGTAGGTTAATTGGTAAATCCAGATCTTTGAAATTGATGAAACAGCAAATTCGTACTGCGCGTCATACAGTCAATTAAAATTTCTAGCCTTTTTTACCACAGTTTCTAATTTTAAATCCTTTTGAAACTGAAAATATTAATAACTATAGTCCCCTAGTAGAATTACAAAGAACAGTAATACAACAAATCTTTTATCTTCATATAAAACATTTCCTTAACTTTAGATTCGACTTTAAAAATTTTTATAGGCTATTCCAGTTTAAAATATCTCTGCCAGAGAGGTTCAAACGAACTATTTTTAAGAAGTGGCATCTTTCTGAAGAAGGTGGTACCCCGTCTCGATTGAAAAGTCAGCAAACTATCTTAAACAGATTTTTCATTTCAGGTTTGGGATGTTTGCATGGATCACTTAGGATGTAGAAACGCATCTCTGAATGGCGTTCCAGACAAAGTAAGCATGTACCAAACGAAAGCTGGTTTCCCTCTCCTTGAGGAAGATCTCCAAGTGCAAGAAAACGATACTCTCGAAGATATAATCCACCCAGAGAATCTCGTAGATTCTCTACCAGACGATGTTATAATCGTTCCGTTCCACGCATCTTACCTACCTTTCATTTTCGATTACGATTTTGAAATCTGTGGATTTAATCGAGAGCTGGCATTGGAACTGAGCTTTAAAGCAAAAGAAACTAAAACTCTAATAGCGTTCAAAAATGGAGTATGTGTTGGATTTGGAAGCATAAAACGCAGTATATTAAATGTCCCGCTAATCGCACCATTGTATGCTGATCATATAGCCGTTGCCGAAACCATGATGAAAAGGCTGATGATGTCTTTTCCACTGAAGAAAGGACTTTATTTGGCCTCATTCACTCATAATAAAGCTGCCACAAATTTGATAAAGAAAATTGGATGTCCTACAACTTACAAACTCTCTCGTCTTAGCAGGCGTCAACATAATTTTAAAGTACCTGTTGACAAAGTTTATGCTCATTTCGACATAAATGCCTCTCCAGTTTGAACTAGAATGGCGACATTTTTGAATTACTTAGTTCGAAATCGTACGAATACATACATATCCTTTATATTGCACCTTTTCTTCATAACTTCTTATACTATTAAATATTTTATGCATTTTGTTTATCACATTACGTTTTGCGTTTCATTGTTTTCTAAATTGGTAGATTTTCTTTAGTTTTTTAACTGCATGATAACGTGTATATTGTCACGTAGAATAAATAGGACTTAGTCTATAAAGTACGAGAGCTTTATTCAACACCTACAAAGTAACGTGAACAAAGTAACTGGCCCCTCGGCTTGAGACACTCAGTCTTTTAT